TTTTTTTTTTTTTTTTTTTTTTTTTTTTTTTTTTTTTTTTTTTTTTTTTTTTTTTTAATCTTTTGTAATTTTTAAAATGTGAAGTCATTAATTAATTTATTAATGTTTTTCGTTATGCCGTCAATCTTATATACGTGATAATAATGATCACGTGATTGTTAAGAGGAGACAAATCTGAGTGTGGATGCTGGTCACGTGCTAATCTAACTAACTCGCTTACATTACAAATTTAATTTATAAATTTATAAAATAACGGTAAATATCCTGAGCCTTTTTTGGGCTGGGCTTTCAGTAGACTGGACTGGAAGAACGTCTATGGACCCTTATTGGGCCGGCCTACTGAGTGCTTCCCCAAAGCCCCAAGATTATTTCCGAAAACCGGCCCATTTAAGTTAATGGGCTGGGCTATAAACCACAAATGTTTCAATTTTATATTTAAAAGATATTTTTTTTTTCTCACATATCTACCCTTCTAATATCTAATTCCTAATTTATTCAAAATGTTAACCCATCTATTATATATAGCCTTCAATAGCCACTGGTTGCCATGATGGGTGATCATCGTCTCGATAGGACTCGTCACCAACCTTTAGTCTTGATTGTTAGTCTTTGACCTGTCTTTAATTGTTGATTATGGACTTTTGAGACTAATGATTATCATCAAATGACTAACGTTAACTAAAAGTAATTAAATCCTAAAAAATATTTTAAACTATAACCCATAAACAATGTTTAAAATAGTGAATTTTTAAAAATATTTTTTTAATGTAAATTTAATTTTTTATGGAAAAAATGAAAACATTTTTATATAATTTTAATGTAAATTTCGAAGGTTAAGACTAGAGGTTTTGTAGTCTTAACCACTTGAGAAACTGCGTGGGGGGTGGTCCACAAAGGTCGGTTTTTTACTTTTACAGAACATTCTAGACGAGTTCTTGCTAGAACACTCCAGATTCTCTGGCCATACGCAAACTTCGTATATATTCCATTTCTCATCACCGGTGTTTTGCAATATTCGTTCTAAGCAATTCACTTCAATTCTGCAATTGTTGTTCGATCTTTTTGTTTTTCAAATTTCTGCTCGAATTGTTTCTCCGTCTAAAATCGTAGTCGGTCTTCAGCTTTGTTTGTAATTCGTTAATGTCGGGAAAAGGAGAGGGTCCGGCTATCGGTATCGATCTCGGTACCACTTACTCTTGTGTTGGAGTTTGGCAACATGATCGTGTTGAGATTATTGCCAATGACCAGGGGAATCGGACGACGCCGTCGTATGTTGCATTCACTGACACCGAGCGGCTCATCGGCGACGCTGCCAAGAACCAGGTCGCTATGAATCCTCTCAACACCGTCTTCGGTATGTATTTTGATTGGAGTTTTTTACTTCCGTTTTTATCGTTGTGGATTTTTCTGTTACTTCTCGTGTTTATGTGATTCGATATCGTCTGTCTGTTAACTGAAGTTGTGGTTGTACTCCTTGCGTCTTTTCGAATTAGAAGTATAGGATTTGTTAATCTCAGGTTCGTTTTTGTTTTCAGAACTAATCTGAATGACAATTATGATCACTTGTATATCTTGAAGTTAATGTGCGCCTTATCTCGTGATTCTGAATTTGAGCGAAAATTCTGTTTCCTTCAAATGTATTAAAGAAATATATCGGGGGATTAAAGAACTGTTTTCCAAAATTCTTTAAACGACCGATTCGATTTCTGGAACTGTTGACTGTTTCTGGAGTACTGTGGCTTTCTCGCCAAGGTACTAAGCGAGAGTCGTTGTTGGTCGTATCATTGTGTTGTAGTGCTCATGATTTCTAGGTTCTACTTTCTATATAACTAGTCTGCTAAATATTGTCCATCGCTTACGATCGACAGATGCGAAACGGTTGATTGGAAGGAGATTCTCTGACCCCTCGGTCCAGAGCGATGTGAAACTATGGCCATTCAAGCT